GTTCCAGCTGGTGCAATAACATATGGACATACACACACACGCACACACACACACTCACACACACACACACTAATATGCACAGAGAGAGAAAAAGGAAAGGCATACATATTATAAAAGAGAAAAAATACCCCATTATGTAGAAAACCCCTAATAATATACAATAAAACTCCTAAAGACTCTTCCAAAAGACTTCTAGGCTTGATAAAGAACTTCAGTAAAGTTTCAGGATACAAAATCAATGTACAGAAGAGTAGTATTTCTCTACACCAATATAATTTAGGCAAAGAACCAAATGAAGAACTCAATTCCATTTACGGTAGGCAAAAAAACTTAAACACCTAGGAATATATTTAATCGAAGAGGTGAAAGATTTTTTCTTTTTTCTTTTTTTTTTTTTTTTTTTTTGAGACAGAGTTTCGCTCTTGTTACCCAGGCTGGAGTGCAATGGCGCGATCTCGGCTCACCGCGACCTCCGCCTCCTGGGTTCAGGCAATTCTCCTGCCTCAGCCTCCCGAGTAGCTGGGATTACAGCAGTTGCCACCATGCCCAGCTAATTTTTTGTATTTTTAGTAGAGACGGGGTTTCACCATGTTGACCAGGATGGTCTCGATCTCTTGACCTGGTGATGCACCCGCCTCGGCCTCCCCAAGTGCTGGGATTACAGGCTTGAGCCACCGCGCCTGGCCGAGGTGAAAGATTTCTATAAGAAGAACTACAAAATACTGATGAAAAAATGGTATATGACACAAATGAAAAATCCCATGCTCATGGATCAAAAGAATCAATGTTATTAAAATGACTGCACTGCTCAAAGAAATTTACAGATTAAAGGTAATTTAATCTCTATCTAATTACCAACACCATTTTTCACATAATTAAAAAAAAACTTAAAATTCATATGAAACCAAGAGTCTGAATAGCCAAGCCAATCCTAAGCAAACAGAACAAAGCTTGAAGTATTACATGATCTGACTTTTAATTGTACTACAAGGCTATGGTAACCAAAAACATCATGGTGTTGGTATAAAAATAGACATATAGACCAATAGAACACAATAGTAAACCCAGAAATAAAGTACTTGTGAACAACTGATCTTCGGCAACAATGACAAAATTAAACAATGGGGAAAGAATACCCTATTCAATATGTGGCGTTGGGAAAACTCGTAAACTGGACCCTTAGCTCTCACCATATATGCGAATTAACTCAAGAAGGATTAAAGATTTATATTTTAGACCTGAAACTGTAAAAGTACTGTAAGAAAATGTAGGAAAAATTCTTCTGGACATTGGCCCAGATTAGGCAAAGAATTTATCACCAGGTCCTCAAAAGCAAATGCAACACAAACAAAAAGAAACAGATGGGACTCAGCTAATCTAAAACCCTTCTACACAGCAAAAGAAACAATCAAGAGAGTAAACCCACCTAATGAGAAAAAAATATTTGCAAACTATGTATCTAAGAAAGGCTAGTATCCAGAATCTACAAGAAACTCCAACTCAACAAGAAAATAAAAACCAAGTAACTCCATTAAAAAGTAGGCAAAGAGCATGAATGGGTATTTTTTTAAAGAAATGCAAGTGGCCAACAAACATATAAAAGATGCTCAATATCACTAATTATCAGAGAAACACAAATTAAAAACACACAATATTTTCTTACATCAGTCAGAATGGCTATTATTTAAAAACTGAAAAAACAACAGATGTTGATGAGAATGCGGAGAAAAGTGTAATGCTTATGCACTGTTAGTGGGACCAAATTATCACAACGTTTATGGAAATCAGTATGGAGACTTCTCAAAGAACTAAAAATAGAACTACCATTTGATCCAGCAATCCTGCTACTGGGCATCTACCCATCTACATTTTACATATACATGAAATACTATGCAGCCATAAATAAGAATGAAGTCATGTGTTCTACAGTAACATGAATGGAGCTGGAGTCCATTATCTTAAGTAAAATAATTCAGAAACAGAAAGTCAAATATCACATATTCTCACTTGGATGGGTGGGAGGTTAACAAGGGTTGAAAAATTACCTATTGGGTACAATGTTCAGTATTCGGGTGATGGGTACACTTAAAAGCCCAGACTTCACCACTATGCGATATATGCATGAAAGAAATCTGCATTTGTATCCTCTAAATCCGTTTTTAAAATGAAAAAAAATCACCATAGTCTACCACTTCACAGCCATTGGAATAGTTATTATAAACAAACAAAGCAAATAGCAAACAAGTTTTGGTGAGGATGTGGAGAGATCAGGACCCTCATACACTACTTTTGGGAATGCAAAATGTTACAGCTGCTGTGGAATAACTTTGGAGATTCCTCAATAAGTTAAACATAGAATTACCATATGACTCACTAATTCCACTTCTAGGTATTTTGCCAAAAGAACTGAAAACAGATGTTCGACCAAAAACTTGTACACAAATGTTTATAGCAGTACTATTCACAGTAGCCAAAAGGTGGAAAGTACCCATACACCCATCAAATGATGAAAGAATAAACAAAATGTGGTCGATCTATGCAATGGAATATGAGTCAGTCATGAAAGTGAATGAAGTATCATGCTGCAAAATAGAAGAACCCTGGAAATGTTGCAATAGAAATAAGAACCTAGACACAAAAGGCCACATATTTCTTTTTTTACTATAAACTTTACTTTAAAAAATGTGTAAAATACACATAAGAAAATGTATCATCTTGAACCATTTTTAAGTGTAGAGTTCAGTGGCATTAAGGACATTCATAGTGTTGTGTAACCATCGCCACTATCCATCTCTAGAATTCTTATCTTGCAAAACTGAAACTGTACTCCCTATTCTTCCTCCCCTCAACCCCTGGCAACTACCATTTTACTTTCTATGATTTTGGCTACTTCCAGGTGCCCTATATACGTGGAATCATAAAGGGCTTGTCTTTTTGTGACTAACACCACATATTCCATGATTACATTGATACGGTTTGGATGTTTGTCCCCTGCAAATCTCATGTTGAAATGTATTCCCCAATGGTGGAGGTAGGACCTGGTGGGAGGTGTTTTCTTTTTTCTTTTCTTTTTTTTTTTTTTGAGACGGAGTTTCGCTCTTGTTACCCAGGCTGGAGTGCAATGGCGTGATCTCCGCTCACCGCAACCTCCGCCTCCTGGGTTCAGGCAATTCTCCCTCCTCAGCCTCCCTAGTAGCTGGGATTACAGGCACGCGCCACCATGTCCAGCTAACTTTTTGTATTTTTAGTAGAGACGGGGTTTCACCATGTTGACCAGGATGGTCTCGATCTGGTGACCTCATGATCCACCCGCCTCGGCTTCCCAAAGTACTGGGATTACAGGCTTGAGCCACTGCGCCTGGCCGACTGCTCAATAAATTTATACAATCACTTTAAATATGTGAATTTTAGGGCATGTAAATTATCTAAATATGTTTTTAAAACACATTGAGCATCAAGCAAGAAAAAAAGAGAACGTTCACCCCTTTGACAATTTCTTAGGGATTATACAGAGGTCATTAGGCTGTTTGTTGTTTTTGCTGTGGTGGTGGTGGTGGTGATGGTAAGGGTTGTAGTTTTCCCATCAGAGCCAAGGGTCAAACAACCATTTGGCCTTTTAAAATAAAAATTTTTAAATCAATTAAAAAATAATGTTGCTGGCTTGAAATTTGGAGTAGCCATAGAAGCAAAGAGAAGTGGATGGATCTTTTAAATAGTCAGGATGTAAAAGTGATAAGATTTTGTAGCAGTTAGATATAGGGAGTGGGGAAAGGCCCAGACTGTGCATGCTTAAAGTGAGGAGGCCTCAGACTGAGTGTGGTTAAAGTTGAATTCCTGTTGTCCTCTCAAACTGGCTGTCCTCCCACGCTGCCAATCTCAGTGAACGGATCAGCATCCTGACACAGAGTTGGCATTCATTGATTCCCTTTGGAGTGAATGAATAGAGCATGATAGAGTAAAAATATGGCTAAACAAGGCAGACACGAGGTACTGCCAAATAGCCAGTCCTAAACTCACCCTTAAGGTTGGCTCAGCAGATGTCCAGCACATTTTTCTTCTCACTTTTCAAACTATTTTGGAAATCATTAAGTCTCCCTCAGCCAGAAGAACACTCACCTTCCTATCAGCCATTCCTTCCCTATAACCTATAGGTACCCAGCAGGCTGGGTTTTTTCAAGGGCCTTTTATCCTGTAAATTTTTACACATGGCAATGGCAGGCGTATATATGTACAGCCCATATGAGCATGGGGGATGCTTGGTTTTATAGAAAGGGGATCACAGTGGTGCCCAGCTGATGAATCTATGTTCAGTTTGGCTCTAAGCAGGAAGAGACTCTTCCCACCAAATAGGTTTATTAATCCAGGGGTCCCCCTCCCAGCCCCTGGAATCAGAAAATACAGCTGCCAGAAACACTGCAGACACAGAGTGATCCATTTGACTGATTTTGGTGCTGTTCCCAGGGTTGACAAGCAGAAACACAGAACTAATCATGGTTCCTGATACAGACGCCAAAACAAGGAAGTGATCTGTTCCAGTAAAAGCTTCCAAGAAATAAAGAACTAGGTGGGGCACACTAAACAAGCCCCCAGACTCAACCACCTCAGTGAACATTCCCTTGTTATAGAGAGAAGTGAAATTTGCAACGCAGAACAGAAATCTGGCTTTGTGAGCAGTAGAACTGGGGGTGGAAACATTTAATAAATTATAATTTTTAACCCGATTTTAGACAGTATCCTTGAATAAACATCCTTTTTAATAATAAAAATCCAAATCATTTCTGGCCCTTTTCCTGGAAGTGCTTTCAAGTTACAGGAACACCAATAAGAGGCCCTTTTCTGGGCATGGAGCCCAGGACTCAAAGGGAGGCTCTAGAGAACATCTGGTTTGTTTGATATATAGAAGCCAGAACTGCATGTGTGTTTGTGTGCCTGTGTTTCTCCTATGCTGACTCATAGCATTGAAGCCACTCTGGAAACACCCCCACCCTTCTAGCCAGCCAGTTGATACACACCCCTTTGGCTCCTCCTTGATTCAAATGTTAGGTCAGGAGGAAGAAGGAAAACTAATTCAAGAGCTGCACTTAAGCATCTAGAATTTTCTGTGTTACCTCTTGAGAGAAGAGACTGGCTTCAGGTCTGACTCAGTTCGCTACAAGCTAGACTCTCTTCTTAAAGCACCGACATTACTTGAGTTTTTGGATAAAATTGAGAGAAGAGTCTAAAAGTGTTGTGGACTTTACAGGAGGCAGGAGGCTGACAACTGTCAATAAAGACAGAGATGTCAGGCCTGAGGCCCAGCACTCTAGTGGACCCTGAGATTGAGCTATTTGTGAAGGTAAGTTTTCCAGCTATAATAACTGCATGAAGAATACATTAGTTTTTGACACCGAAGTCCAGTGGACACTTTGGTGTCAAAAACTAATGTATTCTTCTTTAAAAATTCTCCACATTTGGACAAGAGATAGGAAAGAATGTTGTGGTTATTTTCCTACTCTGAGTTCTAGAAGAATGCCTGGGTGGGTGACTGTTCTTAGATGACAGCGGGAAAAGAGATCTCTTCTGAAAAAGGCAAGGTGATATGGTGGAAGAGCACTAGACTGGTTTGTAGTAAGCAACTAAATTATATTCTCAATGGCTTTCTATATAACCTTATAAAAATCCCTCCCTCTGTCCAGAACTTTGTTTCTCCATTTGTACGATGAAGGAGCATGACAAGATGATCCTTAAGGGCTCTCCAAGTCTCAAAATCTGTGTTTTATGAGATATGTTTTGGAAGGCCTGACTGGGTGGAGGAGAGGGCCGAGAATGGCCTGAGAACTCCATTCCTACACATAGCCCAGACAGAACTTTCTAAACTTATACAATGAACAAACATCACAGCAAGGTCACATGGATCCTATGGGAGAAAAACAGGAGTCTGTGTGCCTGTTATGTGAGGAGGGGTACATTTTAGAATGCTCTACTTCTTCTTTTTGGTCTGCCATGGAGGTTTTTTTTTTTTTTTTTAACATGTCATAACTTTTCAGAAAAGCACTTTGGAAAACCCCTAAATCAAAAGAAAGGAACATGTGTTTCCAAATTAGCTCATCAAGAAAGAAAAATTTATATGGGTTATTCCCAGTAGAAATTAAATAGTTTACTAAATGCTTGCTTATATGAACTGTTTAGGTTTTCCCTCTAGCTTTTCCCTCTACTTTCATTGACTGTTGGAAGTATTCAGGATAATAATAACAATAACAAACTCATTTTGTGCCTGGCTCTTTTCTAAACACTTTACATATGTACCTAATTTAGTCCTAACAACTTAGGAAATATGTTGTTATTAATAGTATTTGTATATTCTAGCATCATGAATAGTAGTAGTGATAGTAGTAGGTATTACTACTTTATTACAATGTTTAGTTATTACAGTATTACAATATTGTTCTCATCATATCTAGATAGATGAACTAGGGCAATAAAGTTTCAGTAACTTGCCTCTAAAACGATACAACTTCCTGATGACTTACAAAGACACAAAGTAAGATATGCTTGCCAAATGTTAAGTTAAACACCTATTGGCAAAAGTAACACCTTTACAGCCATTTAGATTATTTAACAATTCATCATGTACATACACCAAGGACATCATCAAACTGTCTTTTCAAAATTATAGGAAAAAGAACCTTGAATTCCTGCAGTGCTAGGTAATCCAATTAAATGTTTGCTAAACTATTGGGCATAAGAGCTACTTCTATCTCTGGATTGTAGCAAATCATATAACTGCTCAGATAGGATATAAGTGAGCTGTAATTTCCTAAGTGGCTTTTTACATTTACCAATTCCAAATCACAAGTAATGTCTCTTCACAGGATAACTAAAGTGTTGCCTTTGTCTGAACTGTTAATTCTACTCAATTAGACCCTTTAAATCCGTTGTTGGCATTGACCTATGTGTTTATCTTCACAGACTTTTCATATTTCAGTGGTAATCTGTATAGGAAAGTTTAGCAAGTCACACATGGAGGAGAAAATGTTGAATTAAATAATAACTTTCAGTTTAAAGTAACCAATCATTTATTGAGTACTTACTATGTGGTAGGCACTGTGCTAAGTGGTTTATTATTAATCCTCTTTTATGAATACAGAAATTAAAGCAAAGAGCAGCTAAGTAACTTTGTCCAAGGTCAGATAGCTACTGAATGGCACAATTAGAATTCCAATCTTTTAAAATAGATATGTCTAATATTATTCAATTGTTTTCAGGAGTGTGAACTTTTTAGTAAAATATTCCAGAATTTTATCAGATGGAGTACTTTCGATGTAAGCAATAATGACGTTGTTACTTATTACAGGTTTTTGGGAAGAACCTTGAATATTATCCAGGTTTTTCTTTTGTTTTAAGCTGCATTACACAGATCTCTAGACGTTTCATGAAAGATACTGGGAGGGGAAATAGGCATTGAGAAGGACTAAAACTGCTAATGAGTAATTTTTAAAAGGCATTGCTACAAGAGATTAAGCATTCTCTTGTCACAATTAAGAATCTATAGCACAACATCTATGTGTTCCATGTAGTCAATAAAAACATTGTCTTTCGGTTCTGAATGATTTGAGCAAGGTTTCTATTCAATAACTAAGAACAAAGGATTTCATAACACACATTTTATTTTCTGTAAGTACAGGGATGAAATAATCTTAATGGTTTGTTGTTTGTTGTTAAATGGAATGTTTTCATTCTCTACCAAAGACTCTGAAGTTTTAGTAGATTTGTACATAAAATTATGGATTCTAACATTTGGGCCAAAATTCTGAATGTAACATTTTTGTCAAAAGCTTTTTTAAATGTATGGGGGAAACAGGAAACAGATGATACTCTTCTCTGAGTGTTCAGATCATTTCAAAGTGTCTTATACCTATTATAAATACTCATGAAGACTGATTAATATAAAAATTTGACAAAACTGTTAAATGAGAGAAGGCAGTGTTTAAGAGTATGGTGTCTGGAGAATCTAGTCCTGAATTTGCTAAGTGAGAAGAGGATATATGTCATCAACTCTTGATTAGCTGACTATACCTGAGCAAGTCAGCCTCTCTGACTCTCAGTTTCCTCATCTGTAAAATAAGCATAATAACAGAGCGTACCTCATAGCATCATCCTACCTGTAAGGATTAACTAAAACAAGTATATAAAGCACAGTAGTTGGCAATGTAGTAAATACTAGATAAATGTGAACTATGGTTGCCATTATTATTTTTCATGTTGAAAAACTTAGATCACAAATACAAAGAGGAAAAAATTGCTTTGGTGAATGACCACATCCTGTCTTTGCCACCTGAAGATACTTAAGAGGTCGATAATTCATCAATCAGGCTAGTGAATTTATATCCGAAAATTATATGCGACGGCACTTTAAATCAGCATAACATAACAGAAAATAAAACCCTACAATTTTCCTGTAAAACTTTACTACATTTCCCCCCACACCTCAATGTGTTTATTCTCCTTTTGCCAAAGACGATCCACCCTTCCTGCTGTGTCTATTATCAGACTCCACTCTTCTTCCTGCCTCCCACCCTTAATCATGTTTCCACTCACTAAACCGAGCTGTGATTGGATCCTTAGTCTGACTTGTATTACAAAACAAATGCAGCTGCTGAGGTTGGTTGCGTCTTCCCATACCTCTTCACACCCTGCCATCACAAAAATCAACAACATCATTTTCTCTGTCACATTCGCTATCAGGGAAGGAAAAGTTTCTACACAGATTCTTCCCACAGTCCAGGGATCTTAGTCCTCATCATCTCTCGGGTGCCTTTTCCCATAGTGATACCCTTACCTTAGTCATTGCAATGTCTGCAACCTCTGCATAATATTATTTATTTGGAGTGTTTTTTGTTCTGCTTTTTGAACTTCTCTATTTTCATATCTTTTATCAAAGTAAAATTTACATAGTATAAAATGCGTGCACTTAAGTGTACAGTTCGATAACTTGACAAATGTATATACACATATAACCGCCATTCCGATCAAAATATAGAATATGTTCCTCACCTCAGAAAGTTTCCTTGTGTCTCTTTGCAGTCTTCTCTACCCTACCTACACTATTACCTCCCTCCACCACAGCCAAGCGTTCTACTTTCTGTCAGGCTTACATTTTCTCGAATTTTCTGTAGATGAAATCATACAGTATGCTTTTGTGCCTGCTATATTTCACTTAGCATAATTATTTTGAGATGTACCCATGTTGCTGTATTTCATTGTACGGATGTACCATTATGTGTTCAATCATTCACCCATTGAAAGACATTTGGGTTGTTTTCAGTTTGGGGCTATTGGGAATATTGCTGTAAGTATTCGTGCACATATTTCTATGGCCATATGCTTTCATTCTCTTGGGTAAATACCTAAGATTGGAATTGCTGGGTCATATAATATGTACATGTTTTACTCTGACAAAATATTTTAAAAAGCAGTTGTACTATTTTACACTTCACTTTATTATGTAAGAGTTCCACTTGCTCCACTTTCCTGTCAAGACTTGGTATCGTCAACGTTTTAATTTAAGTTATTCTAATGTGTTTATCATGGTATCTCACTGTGGTTTTGCCTTTTCCACATGTCTAATAATATTGGGCATCTTTTCATGTCCTTATTTATCATCTGTACAGCTTCCTTTGTAAAGTGTTCAAATCTCTTCCCCATTTTAATTGTTTATTTTTTTAACATTAAATTTTAATTTTTGTGAGTACATAGTAGGTATATATATTTATGGGTCACATGGAATATTTTGATACAGGCATGCAATATGTGTAATAATCACATCAGGTAAATGGGACATCCGTCCCCTCAAGCATTTATCTTTTGGGTTACAAACAATTCAATTATACTCTTTTAATTATTTTTAAATGTACGATTAATTTATATTTCACTACAGTCACCTTATTGTGCTGGAAAATACTATGTCTTATCCATTCTATTTGTTGTACCCATTAATAATACTGTTCACTACCCTTCCCAGCCTCTAGTAGCCATCCTTCTACTTTCTCTCTCTCTCTCTCTCTCTCTCTCTCTCTCTCTCTCTCTCTCTCTCTCTCTCTCTCTCTCTCTCGTTCAACTGTTTTTATTTTAGCTCTTACAAATAAATCAGAACAGGTGAAGTTCTTTCTTCTGTGCCTGCCTTATTTTATGTAACATATGATCTCCAGTTACATCCATGTTGTTGCAAATGACTGAATCTCATTCTTTTCTGTGGTTAAATAGTACTCCGTTGTGCCCCATATTTTCTTTATTCATTCATCTGTCAATGGAATATTTAGGTTGCTTCCAAATCTTGGCTATTGTGAATAGTGCTGC